CATGAGGATTCATGCTGGATTGCCCAAGATGTTTTGGGTAGATGCAGTGAGCATAGCAGCTCACTTAATAAATAGAGGACTATATGTTCCTCTTGACCATCAGTTGTCAAAAGGGTGTTGGACTGGAAAGAAGGTAAATCTATCCTATTTGAGAATTTTTGAATGCTTTTCATATGTTCATGCTAATTCTAAAAGTAGAGACAAGCTAGACCCAAAATCTAGAAAATGTTTTTTCATTGGATATGATGTTGATGAATTTGGCTATCGGTTTTGGGATGATCAAAATTGAAAAATTTTGAGCAGAAATGTGATATTCAATGAAGTTGTATAGAACAAAGTTAGATTCAGAATTAAATTGTGATGAAAAACATGCAAGTGGCACAAATCAAGTTGAACTTGAAGAAATTTCAAAATATGATTTACCTGAGAGGGCTAAGCACGGCCCTAAAAATACAAGTGCAGAAAATGAAGCCCATCCCACTTCATTTCAACTAAGAAGATCAAACAGAATAAGAAGACTAGAAAAGTATTTTTCTTCCTTGTATTATTTATTATTAATTGATGGTGGTGAACTTGAATCTTATTTAGAGTCAATGATTATTAAAGATTTGGTGAAGTGAGAGTTAGCCATGCAAGATGAGATGGATGATTCCTTGCAGAAAAATCAGACATAGGTGCTAACCCCACTACCAAATGGAAAGAGAGCTCTTCACAACAAGTGGGTCCTCAGAATCAAAGAAGAACATGATGATAGTAGGAGATATAAAGCAAGGCTTGTGAATAGATTTTAGCAAAATAAAGATATTAATTATATCAAAAATTTCTCTCTTGTTGTGAAGATAACCATGATGAGATTGGTGCTTAGTATGATGGCTGTAAAAAATCTTCACTTGGAGAAACTTGATGTTAAGACAACTTTCTTTCATGGTGATTTAGATATAGATATTTACATGATGCAACTTGCAAGAACTTCTGTTAAAAGAAAAAAAAAATCAAGTATGCAAGTTGAAGAAGAGTTTCTATGAGCTAAAGCAAGTACTAAGATAGTGGTACAAAAGGTTTGATGGATTCATGATGAGAAGTGGCTTCATGAGATGTCAAATGGACCATTGCTACTATTTGAAGAAGCTTGAAAGTTGCTACATCATATTCTTGATAATATGTTAATTATAGGATCTAATATGTAGGAAATTAACAAGTTAAAGGGGTAGCTAGAAAAGGAATTTGAAATGAAATACTTGGGAGCAGCAAAGTAAATCCTTGAGATGAGGATTACACAAGACAAAGTTGCTGATTTCTTGAAGCTATCTCAAGAAAACTACATTGAGAAAGTACTCTGCAGATTCAACATGCAGAATGCAAGTTCTGTGAGCACACCCTTAGCAAATCACTTGAAGCTTTCAGAGATCAAACACCGAAGAGAACAAAGGAGAAATAAGACATGGAGAAGATCACTTATACTTTAGCCGTAAGGAGTCTCATATATGCTGTGGTCTGCACTAGACCTAACATAGCATATGTAGTGAGAGTAGTAAGTAGATTTATGATAAATTCAGGGAAGGAGCATAGGACAACAATTCAATGGATCTTTCGATATTTGAGGGGCACCTCAGGTATGACTCTTTGTTTTCAAAAGAGTAATATGAAACTACAAGATTTTGTAGATTTTGATTTAGGTGGTGCGGTGGACACAAGGAGAAGCACCACCGGGTACATTTACATCTTGGGTGGCACAATCGTGAGTTAGATTTCACAATTGTAGAAAATTGTGGTGCTCTCTACTATAGAGACTAAGTATGTTATGTGGCTATCACTAAGGCTAGTAAGGAAATGATTTGGCTGAAGACTTTCCTTGCTGAGTTAAGGAAGAAGCAGGACAACACTTTGTTGTTTTCAAACAGCCAAAGTGCTATTCATCTAGCCAAGAATCTCATATTTCATTCCAAGACAAAGTATATCTAACTGACGTATCATTTCATTCGAAGCTTGTTGAAAGATGAAGATCTAGAACTAGAGAAAATCAGTGGGTTGAAGAACCTAGTAGATATGTTGACAAAGGTAGTTGTCACTGAGAAGTTGAGGCTGTGTATGGCCTTAATTCATCTTAAAATTAGCTGATCGGTGGCGTCACATGAGCACATGAGTTATTTTCATGTTTATTTGAAGATTATTCTCCAAGTGGGAGATTGTTAGAAGATGTGGAGAACTAATCAAGCCCTAGAATAATAGTAAGTGTGCGGACCCAAGCCCAAGACATAGAGGATGTGATGATCCAACTAAAGGATCTGTGAAAGGGGTATATAAAAAGGGTGAAAGGAGTTCAATAGTATCGATTTTCTCATTCGATCATTCATCCGTTCGCTCGTGCCACATTTGTCTCGCTTGACAGTAGAGTGAGGAGAGGAGAAAGGAGCTCATGATCCAACTAAAGGATCTGCAAAAGGGGTATATAAAGGGGGTGAAAGGAGGTCGATGGTATCGATTTTCACATTCGATCATTCATCCATTCGCCTGTGCCACATTTGTCTCGCTCGATGGTAGAATGAGGAGAGGAGAAAGGAGCTCGTGTGTTGATCAATGAAGTGACTGATGGTAGAGTGGCAGACCTTCCTCCTTCCCTATGTTGCAGTTGTAGTTGTGACAATGGTTGTTCAGCAGTGCTCGACTATGCTTGTGGCCGTGTTTGGTGGTGACTACTTCGGTGTATGTTCTTGTGAGACGATTCTCTCTAGTGAGATAATATATTGCTCATGTGACAATGGACATAGGAGGGTTTCTCCAAACCACGTAAATCTCTATTTTTTATCTTTTGGTGTTCCTTTTCTCTCTCGTATTCTTCCCTCTTCTGTTCTCAGGTGCTTTTTTTTCCTCTACGTGAGGAGAGGACATGGCCAACACAAAGTTGTTGTCCCCAACATATTGCACACATCATCCTTTTTCAAGAAGAACTTTTGACGTTGTGGATATCACACAATAGTCATCTAAATGCTCAATATCCTGACGCATTGTTGCTGCGACACTAGAACTTTGATTTATCATTTTTCATTAGTTTAATTTTCATCATCATTTTTTGAACTTTGAAAGAAGATACAATGAATACCCAAGTTGTTCATGTCTAAGGAGAGCTTTTGAGACTATAGACATCATTTAATAATCCTTTCGAACACAAAATTCCAACTATCATTTTTGTGAGACCAAAACTTTACCTTTCTTACTTTAAATTTAATTTTCACTTAATTTAATGATACTTTGTATGATTTCAAATTTTAATATTATTCTTCATTAAATCATAATTCTTCTGGCTTTTATAAAGCTTAATTTAATCAATAAGTCATCTATAATCACTTATGTAAGAGTCATCAAACAGAACTCTGTTTCTACTCAATTTATGTTCATCGAGTCATACTCTTATTTTCTTTTTTATAAATTTAAAATATATTTTATCTTCATTACTTAGTCTAAAAATCTTTTAAAAAATGTTCTTTAAGAAAAATTCTGAAATATTACTTGATATTATATTAAATCCTTGTGATCAACCTGATTTTTTTTACTATTTTTAGAACTTTTATTGAATTATAATTGATATAGTTGTTTAGAAATATCTCTAAATATTTAAAAATTAGTATTATATAGTTTATAAATATTTAAATTTGTGTGATTTATTATACAACGACTAAATTACATCAGTAAGTCTTAAATTTCTCTTCAATATTAATTTTTATTTTCTATTATAATAAAAATTATAATAAAAAAATATGTGTAAAAAGAAATTATCAAACATATTATGTTATATATTTAAATAGTAATATATTTATTAGAACAAAGTTACCATTCACCAATCCAATTTGTGAACTGATCATACTAGAACAGTTAACTAATTATGCAGGTTATTTACACCATAAGCCTCACTTAGTAGTGACTCCCTTGCTTCTTGTTGACTACAACTTTTTTAAGCCTAATTTAGGAAGTTAGTTGAAATTATTTTTATACACCTAATGAATAGCCTCACCATTGGCATTGATCTCTTTCAATATTTTGCTAAAAATGATATGTTTCTAATGATTTTCTTATCCACTAAAAATTAAAAATAGTCCCTTAAAAGGATGGTCAATATTCTACCGAATATTCTTCTCAGTTTATGCTATCGGGTTGTCTGAAAATTGGGCCGGACTGGGCTCTAGTTAAATACCCGTTAGTGACCCACGGTATAATCCGTCCCGAAATCGATAACCCGTCAAAGATCCGATAAAATGTGAGACCGGGAGAAGCCGGCAGGTGAGAAGCCCAACCGCCAACGGTGTACGCGCATCAGGATCTGGCGTGTTGAGGAGACGCATATTCTTCAACACTCCGACGGGGATAAGTTGTCTCTCCGGAACGAGATAAGCAGCGGAAGCCTTCCTTCCACCGGCGAGGATCCATGGGGGGAGGAAGGCGGCGCTTCTCCAAGAACGGCGGGCCCCGAGGGCGAGGTCTCTTCGTGGAGGGAGGCCTCCTCAGCGACTGGCAGGAAGGGCCCCGGTTCTCTGGTTCTTCCTCCTCGATCCAAGGTCTTCTCTACATCTGCTCTTTTCTTTCATAGCCGAAACCCTAGCCGTTCTCCGTCTCCTTGTGGATAAGATCGGTTCGTGTGCGCAGGGAGACGTGTGAAGCAAGAAACCGGCGGATCGGCGTCGTCGTCTAAGCCGCGGGGCGGCGGAAAGAAATTCTCTGGTTCAGTGGATAAATCAATCAAGCCGCAGAGAGGGTGGAATGCCTTCGGTTATAGCTATCCGGAGGAATCAGGCGCTGTGGACGGTGAAAGCCGTCGCAGCAGGGATGGCGCCCCTGTTGTTCTTCGCAACTCTGGTGAAGAGTCTGCCGTCACTGTATTTGTGGACAATAAGTCACACGCAGATCCAACAGAAAATGTGCCTTCTTATGATTATTATTTCGCGTCACTCGGTGAGTCTCACTCTGGATTAGGATTTCAAGGTGACGGCGAGGAGCCGGTTGAGGGGATGGAGCAGGAAGAGGAAAAAGCGGAGGAAGCCACGGTGGTAGTCAATGCATCTTCGCCAAATCCGACCAGGAACAAAAAGAAGAGCGACGGATTTCTATCAATCGGAGGATTGAGACTGTACACAGAGGAGATTTCTTCTCCTGGTGAAGATAGTGATGGGCTTCTGGATGATACTGACGGAGACTATGAAAATGATGATGGCGATTCCGTAGAAGAAAAATTTCAAGATTCTGCTGAGGATTCTACCTCTGACAGTGAGGAAGAAGAAGAAAGCTCGGAGGGTGATACATCGTCTGATGATTACGGTGATGGCTCAGATATTGATGAAGAGGTGATGCAGGACTATCTGGCAGGAATCGGTGGCGCAGACGAATTATTGAAAGCAGAATGGTTAGCTGAAAATCTTGAGGACCATGATGTGGATAATTCTTCCACAGGCGACAGCAGTGATGAGAGTGTTGAGAAGCTTGGGCCATTCGCGCTAATGAATTTATCCGAGGAGTATGGTATGCAGAAGGCAAAAGAAAAAAATAAGAAAGTCAAGAGAAGCAATAGTGGGAGCAGCCTAGGTCTGCCCATTCGTGCTAACAAGTCTACACCTTTGGACGACTTGTTGTTTGCTAAAGATCGTAGAGCAGTTTCAGGAAGAAAGACGAGGGACTGTACTATGATTTCTCGTTCCTGGCCCTCCAATGCTCGGAAAAGTAAGATGGACAAGAAAATTAGAGGTAAATAAAATCATATTCTCGGGACACCAACTACCTCTTCGAAGTGTTATCGCATATTTCGTATGCAGGCTTTAATTTTGGCCATCACTTTTCTGTTCAACAGTTGGCTTAACTGTAAACTTTTTATTTGTGAGGAGCAACGAAATTATTTGGATTTTTTAAAGAAAATATTATTTAACTTTATATCCTCATGATCTCGCTGGAAATTAAATCTGTGCATTAAATTTATAATTATCTCATTTTTACCTTTAGTTTTTGCACAATAATCACGATCAGAATAAACTACTTGCCTTGGAGCTGTTCTGGCCGTTTACTTGGAGCCTAACCTCCCCCTCCTCCTTTCTTTCAGTACCCATATGTTGATGTTGCAAAACTAGGTGTATTGTTTTCCATTGTGTTGATTTCCTTTTCTGATCGTCCAGGTGAAAAGAAGAAGCATCGTAAAGAATTAATTGCTAAAAAACGTCGAGAAAGGATGCTTAACCGTGGTGTTGATCTTGAACAAGTAAACCTTGTGAGTCATTTCTTCCCCATCTCTCACTTATTTTTATGTTTATCGTTTGTAGATCTTTTTCACTAGATATGCATGACACCGATACATCTGAGGTCGCCTCTGGCATGCTTCCTATGCGAAATAACCAGTTGATTTGCACATACAGCACCTAAGTGGGATTCCCTAATATTTTCCTAAAATCGTGCGGGGGATAAGAACATCAACCGAGGGCTTTTGCTGTACCATCACCATTACATTCTTCGTACATTTCTTTATGATGCTTTGTATGAAAATAAGTTGTCTTGATTGTGGAGAGTTGTTTAGATATTTATGAAGATCGTTCGAGATTGCTGTCGACTTTTAGTTTTTTAAATTTCATTCAATTCATTTATTTTTTTTCTCGAGAATTACTTGCATGTAATCTTGGGATTTACATCCGTCACTAACGAATGTTGATCAATTCCCGGCTTCCAACATTGTAGGAGTTGAGACGGATGGTTCTAGCTGAGCGTGATGTTTTCTCCTTCCAACCTATGCATTCTCGTGACTGTGCGCAGGTTCGCTTACCCCTCCCCTCCCCTCCTCCTCTCCCCCTCCCCAAAAAAGAAGCAACTTCTTCATTTAGCATTTCACTGTGGATTCTGTTGGCCCAAAGTAGAAACCTCTTCAGGCAGCAATCATGGGATCTCTGATGAAAAGGAAGAGAAAAAAAGGCAGAAAAAAATGGTTTCTAATGGGCTTGCTCCAACCATGTGGGGGAGAAAAATCTAGAATTTTTTTTCATATTATCCCCTCATATTATCAACCTTGGCTGGGCCCTTACACTGCTGTCTCTTCCCTCTCCTAGGTGCAACGACTGGCCTCCATCTATCGTCTCCGGAGCGGCTGTCAAGGTTCTGGAAAGAGGAGGTATTTTCCTCTTCTTCTTCTTTTTTAATCTCAATCATCATGTCTGATTAGAGATGCCTCATTAGGGTAGGGAGAGAACGAGTGAGCCTGACGACCCCATTGATGGGTTCTTTTCCAGATTTGTGACGGTCCTGCGAACGGCCCATACATCTCTACCCTCTGCAAATGACGCTCACCGGCTGGAGAAGGTCTTCTTTCTTCCCATGAAATATTTTTAATTTCTTATAATGTATATTCATCTTCATCATGATCAGGTCTGATAAAGCCTGTGATTTTCTTCAATTCCAGTTGTTAGGGTTGGACGATGAGTCTGATTTTGCCGTCGGTCCTGGTAAGGAGGGGAAGACCCCGGCGCGAGTTTGGAGCAGCCGAGGGAGATTATCTGGTCCTCCCCACCGGTCTGCGTCGAGCAAACTGATGATGAACTCCGGTGGCGGCGGCGGCGGCGGCAGCGCGGGGAGGAGGCGGAGCTCCACCGGCGGCGTCGGGGTGTATGCAGATAAGCCGGTCTCCTTCATCTCGTGTGGGGTGATGCAGGTCGACCCGGAGGCGGCGGCAATGGTGATCGACTCCAAGGAAGGTGGCTCGCCGGAGAGGACCGAACAGTTGTCGGCGGAGGCGGGCTCGTCCAGGTTAGGCGCCTTCGAGCTGCACACGAAGGGCTTCGGTTCGAGGATGATGGCGAAGATGGGCTTCGCTGAGGGCGGTGGGCTCGGGCGGGACGGGCAGGGCATCGTCCTGCCGATAGAAGCCGTTAGGAGGCCCAAGTCGCTGGGGCTGGGAGTTCAGTTCGACGGCGGTGCCGCGGCCGGCGACGACGCGGTTGTGGAGAGCCCCGCCGGGTCTGGGAGGAAGCCGCCGCGGCGGGCTCCGGCGAGCGGAGGCGGGGGAAAGAATGGGAGTAGAGCCAAAGATGACAGAGGGATTGGGTCGTTCGAGAGGCACACGAGGGGGTTCGGGTCGAAGATGATGGCGAGGATGGGGTATGTCCCTGGGTCTGGACTCGGGAGGGACGCCCAAGGGATCACCGCACCTCTGGCCGCCGTGAAGCTGCCCAAGTCCTTGGGCCTGGGGGCCAGCGCCTGATTCCGATTTGGGCTGACGTTCTTGGGTGCATACGAGTCCAACAATGTTCATATTAATGGGCTTCCATGCCCAGCTAGTTATCTTTTTCTATTTGAACTCGGGTCTATGCTCATGGGTCCATTGAGAAAGTTGAACTCGGGTCTATGTGGGCTTGTGCAACCACATGCAACCACCTGGGTGATGGTGGGAGTGCCACGGAGCACTCATGCAGCGGATGAGACAAGATGGCTCGTTGGATGTAGTGCTGGCACATGGGGAATATTAGTGGGTCAACTGATATTAGAATGGGAAAATGAGGAAGGAGCAAGAGAGATGATAGGTGAATGAAGAGGAGCGCAAGGCCTACGGCTTGCAAGGTTGGAGCAATCACAGGGGGAGCTTCAGCAGAAGAGCTGCACAGTGGATCTTTAGTGGCATGATCATCAATGACTTAGACAAACTTTAATAAAGTTCATCTTGAGGGAGAGTATTAGAAGATATGAGTGTAATATTGTAAATGACTAAGGACATTATGATTTCTCCGTGAATACTTGTCTAATTTAATTAAAATTTGAAATGAAGCTCTATTACCTATTAATGAATGATTATATACAGTAAAAATATAATTTTTGGCAAGAACTAAAGTAGAAAATGAGAGTCAAAGATTGAAGACAGAAAAGAAGGAAAAATAATTAAATCAAAATGAAATGAGAGATTTTTGGATCAGAGGAATAGAAAAGGAGGCTCCTTGCACTTCTAGATGAGGGATGGACCGTGGGCTAGAAGCCAAGAGGCCAAGAGGCAAGGAAAGGCAAGGGAACAAGGTTGGAGAGCAAGGAAGGAGGATTTTAGAAACCAAAGGGCTGCAATCAATAGAGTTCTTTGCTATAGTGCAAAACATATGTATGTTTTTTAGGAAATTATCATGGACAGACCACTAGAGGTAGATAAGGAATTGAATGCAGAACATTATAGAAAGATATTGTCTATAAATGCTAGATCACAAAACATTCTGATTAGTAGACTTGATTCGGAGTTTAACTGATTTTTGACATGTGGGTCTACTAGGGAAATATGAGATAGATTGAGGGTAACATATGAAATGAACACTCAAGTCAAAAAATTTCAATTAGTAAGATAGTTTGAGATGTTTACAATGAATGAGGATGAAACTATTATGAAGATGTATGAAAGATTCCTAAATATCATGAACATTTTAAATAATCTAGGAATACCCTTTCCACGGGAATATTAATTAGAAAATTCTGATGTCGTTGACCCCCAAATGAAAAGCCAAGGTCACTACCATTGATGAATCTAAAGATCTAACTTTGATGTATTCAGATGATCCAATAGGATCTTTATTAACCTACAAAATGGGTATAGGAAAAGATGAAGTAGGGATACATTAACCTATCAAGAAGACTGTAGCATTGAAAATGATGGAATCAATGAGAGAAATAGAGGAAGGAGAAGATGGTGAAGAAGAGGAATAACTAGCAATGTTGTCCAAAAGATTTAAAAAATATTTTCTAAATATGCAACAAGAAATATGAAGAAGTTTCAAAGATCCTCTACTGCTATTGACGAAAAACCTAAGAATGAAACGATTTTTTTTAATGTAGAAAACCAAGACATTTGAGAGCTAACTATCCATGACTAAATCAAGAGAAATAAAAAAAGAAGGCTATGATGGCAACATGGAGCGATGAAGAAGGATCAAGATCTGAAAGTGAAGAGGAAAATAAAGACAACATATACTATGTCGCCTACAAACTAGAGGTATGTGATTTTGACAATGAAGAATCCTCAAAGGATGAATTATTAGCAATGATTATTGATATTCATGACTCATGGAGAAAAGAAATAGTTATCTATAAGAAATTTAAGAATATAATTAAACTTTAATAAAAAATATATGAACATATAGAAGAGCAAGATGAAGTATTGTCAAACAAGAATATCAAACTAAAAGCTGAACTAGGAAGCATAAAAAAGAAAGTAGATTCTGAACAAAATAACATCACAAGAGAAATCCCTACAGAAGAAGCTGAAAAATCAGATATAGCCAAGAAAAAATTTAGGAAAAGTTAACATAAATTAAATGAATAAACCTTCAACATAGGTATATAAATAATGAAGTGTTAGGTTCCATGTGACTAAGTGAAGTACCAAAAGGGCGAGCTGTGTATGTAGGTGTTGACACATATTTTAACACAATTTATGAAGTATATGTGAAAATTAGTCTAAAGCTCTTATCTCCGTTGTATAGTCACTTTGGTCTCTCTCTCTCTTTCTCTCACTCCCCATGATGATTGACACAAAGTTTATATTGGTTCACCTTTCCTTGTGCTACATAGTACTAGAGGATCACTATTTTAAATTTTGTACTACTTTTTAATAAAAATATAGCTGATTTCATGGGCTCACAGCACAATTGTTCAATATCTATAGATATCTTACATCTCATGGACATGTATTGACTCATAACCACACATACTGAAGTCAAGGTACATTTATCTTAAAAAAATAACACTCTTCATAGACACAATCCAACTCTTAGCACCTTGTACTTTAGCTTTATAATTTCTCCACTTACCACCTAGTTTACCTTAGGGCCTAATGAAGAAAGCCAATCTTTAATAGAGTTGTTTGATTCATAAGTTATCATAGATGATAAAAAATGATGAAGTTTTAATTTCTTCTTGAAGTGTGTGGTGCCCTTGGTATATGATGTTGAAATAGATCTTTCCTTTCAGCTCATGTGAGTGATGTTGATGAAATATTTCTTTATTCATTATTAGCTTTGTCTATTCTCAAATTATTCTATTTATACTTCAACATATCTATGTCATTTTAACATCTAAAAATGGTCATGTTAATTTGAATATCTTTTCATTATTTTATTGACATTCTAGTGATCTATAGTTGTTTTTTACTTCCAAGCTTTTTACTTGTGATAATTATTCATGATATCTTATATGGAGATTCTTACATGATCGTCAAGCATTTCTTATTTCAAGGTATTACTCAAAGGAGATCATTTGTCTTATCTTTAGTCTATCTTCTACTGACGAGTTACCTTCCAAAATATGTACTTCTGACCGTTATTATACTTTAACTCAGATCTTTCAACTTGTAGGCATGTCATCCTTGATATCTTGTATGAGGATCATCAATTGGTCAACATATGTCTTTGTATTTAAAACTTTTGTTTGAAAATCCATACTTCTTCAATGCTTGATCTTTTTACTTAATACTAGGTTGAAGCTTAGTCGTTTTCATTTTACCGTTTTCTTCATGTAAGAATTCAATGTGTCACCATGCAAGTTGTGTGGTGACAACTTCTCTATTTCTTATTTGCTTCGTACAAATAAGTCAACTCAATTCCAAGTAAACCTTGAGTTTGAGTCTTGCTTTAATCGTGATCATATATTTTCATTTTGAGTATCTTGATTAGTTTTTCATGTGTTGATATAGTGATTCGAATTTAAATTTTACCAATGTTGCAATTTGAATGATTTAGTTTTCATTTTTCATGCTTCCTGGAAGTTTGCGTCTTGGGTTCTAGTATCATGTTTGTCATTATGTGTCTTTTGATATTTTAAACATTTTTAGTACTAATGTTTCATTCTTCACATTACTCAAGTTCTGAGTTTCTTCAATAATAAGTTTTCATTATAATGAGCTAATAATAAGTTGATAATATAACTTATATATGATAAATAATATTATATTTATCTTAAATTGAGAAAATAATTTTTATGTGACTAATATAAATTTATGATTAATTATGTAATTATATATATATATATTATAATTATGTTTTAAATTTAAAATAAATAAAATAAAATAAGAAATATATAAAAAAAGGGAGACCCACTAACCCTTTTCTCCAAGTGGTCATGGTCATTTTTTTGTGAGAGAAGGAACTCAAATATAAAATAAAGGTGAGACTTATATCCATCTTAAACTCACCGAAACAACTGATGTGAGAATAAACCACCAGCATCACTCACTAATAGAAATAATACCAAAATTACCCATGTGATAAGAGAAGAAATTAAATTTTTGTTTACTATTTCAAGGATATTATTATAATTGGTTGAGCTTCACTTACAGAGTCAAGTGATTAGTGGAGGTTCCAATCTCACAAACTTCAAAAAATATAGTTTTATTCTATTTAACTATGAGGATTTACATGTAGAGAGCTACTTAATAGAATAGCTACAAGAGACAGTCAATCATCGGCAAAATCTTCTTCAATGAATAATCTAACATTATCATTAACAATTGACACTAAAGATTTTAGATAGAAAAATCACAATTTTTTAGAGAAAATCATTCCATGTTAGTCAACAAATAAACTATCGTCATGGGTAGAGGAATCCACCAAGAATTTGTTGTGATCTCTTTAGAGTGTTCCAAATATGATAAAGAGCATCCTCTTATTGGGCAAACTTGAGGATGAAACCTCCACTCCACTGAGTGACAACTATTAGAGACACTTCATTGACATGGTTCTTCCCTTTTACACTTTGCATAGAAATCTAAAGAATGCCCATGATTGTGTAAATCTAAGGAGAGCCTTTGAGGTCATTGACACCACTCAAATCTTTCGAACTTATAGACTTCTAGCAATCTTCATTGCGACATCAGAAATCTTTTTACCTTGTTTAAACTCATTTAATCTTTAGATTAATGATAGTTGTGTTTGAATTTAAGTTTCAAATTTATTTTTTAGTTTATTACAATTTATTTGACATTTACAAATCTCAATTTTATCAATTGAATTATTTGCAATCATTTACATAATAATTGTCAGGTGATGTAACTTAACCATTGCATAATTAAGCATAAAAATTTAAATATTAATAAAACTAAAAAATATAAATTTTTAGATATTTAAAAGTATTTCTGAAAAAATATATCAATTATAATTCAATAAAAGTTTCAAAAATAGTAAAGATTTTAAAATATGATCATAAGGATGTAATATAATATCAAATAATATTTTTAAA